ATGATTATAAGTAAACTTACAGTTAAACAAAGCTGTAGAACCAGAGAGAGTAAATGATTATAAGTAAACTTACAGTTAAACAAAGCTGTAGAACCAGAGAGAGTAAATGATTATAAGTAAACATACAGTTAAACAAAGCTGTGGGTCGGGCTGAGCTTCTCAGGAGATGGAGAGTATCTGAACCAAAGATGTGTGTTTGTTTTCAGTCCAGGAACTGGACTCTCAGGTCAGTCTGGTGGATTTGCATCGGCTCAGTACAGGTCTGTTTAGAGAGGAACGGCCTCTGATAGGTTGAGGTGAGAGCTCTGGTCTGGTTCTCTTCACACGACAAAGATATAACATGTTCTACAATCCCATTCACCTCCAGTGCTTGTTTGTCTTTGGTTGAGGCAGAACGGTCAATAACATAATGTTAGCTTAGCTGCTGGGTTGAAGTCACTAAATATAATGCTGCTGATGAACCTTATTGATCAGATCCCAGAATGTGATCAGAGAACAAGACCGCTGCTGCTGCAACTTTGCCTGGTTGATGAAATACATATTGTTCAAACTATTTGTTTATTGTTTTGCATGAACACAGTTGTGCCATCAGAAGAAGCTATATCCTCATTACACACAGACATTTAAAAAAGTGACCAAAACAGCTTTCAAAGACTGAGAAAACTAAATGAATGGAACCATAACACGATATTAATAAGTGCAGCAGGTCACCATCACCACAACAAACAAACAGGGCTTTAAATGGACTCATATTTAACTAAATATGTGGGAGGAGCCTCTTCATGGAAGTCTGAGAACATTAAAGACATATTTTGTCCAGTTGGTAGAAGAGATATTATAAGTTATTAATTCATATTTAAAACAATAATCTCAGGAAACAGGAAACTCAGTTTTACATTGTTATTATATCCTCACTTGTTTACAGGAACAATTTGTATAGTTTATTATTATTATTATTTTATTTTATTTGCTGTGGCTCAAGGCACCCTGATCAGCCACCACTGAACCAGACTCAAAGACTTAGTTCGGTTCTATTATATCATTTGATGTACCAAGTCTTGTATATTTAACAAATATTTAATGTAATAAAATGATATACCACCCACAAAACAATGTGATTTACCTTTAAAGTCAGAAGAGAGATCACTAATGCAGATGAACTAACTGCTGCTATTAGTTTTATTTGTGTGCTTTTCCTGCAGAATTAAACAACAAAATGAAATGAACGTTGCAATAAACAGAGCAGATCAATCTTGAGCTCGCTCACCTTTACTGGAAGTTAGTGATTCATGTAGTGGTCTGTGGTTTGGGTGAACTGGCCCTTTAAGCCGATCGTGACCTGATAAGTAGAAGTGATGGCGTTATTAATAATAATAATGTCTTGTGACTGACAGATCGAGCACAGCCGGATCTACGGGCCTCTGTGGAAGTCGACGTACGGCCCTCTGGTCGTGGTGAACGTGGCCAGCGCCGAGCTCATCGAGCAGGTTCTGAGGCAGGAGGGGAGGTTCCCGGTCCGGTCCGACATGCCCCACTGGAGGAGCTACAGAGAGCTGCGGAACCAGGCCCAGGGGCCGCTGACCGAGTGAGTAACCCCCCCCCAAGATGTAGATCCACATCTTCAGAGTTTAAAAAACAAGTTTAAACAACCAGGACACAGGTGTTGTGTTGTAGCTTGTAGAAAGTAATACAGTCTGCCAACGGAACAATCCTGTTCAGATTCCTTTAATTGGGATTTTATATCTGGGACCTTCAACTCATTTTGAGCTTCTTCTGTTTCACTAGAATGAGGAATTGTTGTGACTAATTGTCCCCAAATGTTGGTGACTTGTTCCTCAATGCTGCAGTCGTAGATGACGGACGTCGTGTGTTTAATCTTCAGAATCCAGCTTCTTGTTTTCTGCTGGTTTAATTGTGTCGGTCTTTGCGGTAACAACATCACATCTCGGTCCAAAAGCACTAAAACTACACCAAGTATTTCACCATCTTTTATTAAACAAGTTGTTTCCTGTGAAGACTGAGTTTTATTTTGAAAAGACTGTTTTCATGTAACGGGCAGAAAGCGACTCGTGTTGCTGGACTTTTATGGGAAAACACTAAAAACGAGGAGTAACTTTGCGTTGGATATCATACATTACATTACATTACATTACATTCATACAAAGTCTGTATGAGGATACGTTGGATGGACTAATAAATGATTAGCGTTAGCTGCTAGCGCCCTCCTCCTCCTCCTCCTCCCGCCTGCTCTCCTCCAGGTGAAGTCGGTAACAACTAACCAGCCAGAAGCAGCCGCAGTGTTTTGAGATATTCTGACCGGTAATCATACAAACCTGCTGGTAGTGAGTGTTTATGTCCTCTCTGTGTCCTCTTTGTGTCCCAGGAAGCACCGAGCAGAAGAAGAAGACACGTTATCGTCTTCTGTTTGCATTCGTGTTCATTATAAACGACATTCAGACAGGAAGCAGTGAAAGACATGAGAGGAGCAGAGAGCTGCTTCTTTACCTGAGTTATTGAAGTGATATCTGGATATGATTGAGCTGTGTGACGTGTGATTGGTTCATAAAGGTTCACTCACAGATGTGCTTTCAGCAGCTGTCCTCTGAACCCTGAACCTTCAAACAGCACCAATAATTCATCTGTTATATTCACAAACGATAACAATAGTTTAGATTAAAGATGAAGAACGTCACCACTTCATACTGAGAGAAAGTCACTAGAGTCCATGAAGACGTTTCTGGTTTCATGATGAAGGCCGACCTCTCTGTGTCTGAGCTCAGCTCAAGTTATTCAAGTTATTCAAGTTATTTATGTTATTTATGTCACGTTCACAACGAATAGTGAGAAACTCTTCTTCTTCTTGTCATTCTTGTTTTTCTTGTTATTCTTCTTCTGATTCATATTTTCTTCTTCTCCTCCTCCATCTTTTTCTCTTTCTTCTTCTGTAAATATTAGACGCTCGTTCCCTCTAACCTTCTCAACCACTAACAGTTTACAGATGTTATTTCTCTCTCTGTGTCCTCGTTTTTCCCTTCAAAATAAAAGTCCTGCTCCTCTGTGGAAACAGAGCCACCATGAGTAGAAGTAGAGAGAACTAGAACACGTCTTTAGTGCAGAACAACACAGTTATGACGTCATCAATCATGACAAAGAGAGGAATCTGTTCATACGTTTAGCTGGGACCAACATTGTAAAGCTAGTTGAGGCTCCGCCTCCTCTTCTCATTGCACTGTTGACATTTGTTCTCTCTCCTCTTTGAATAAACATCCTGAAGTTCAGCTGAAGCTTCACAGCTTCTGTCTCGTGACTGTTGGTTTAAGTCGTCTCACAGCTTCCTTTACTCTTCAGTTTACAGGATTTGCTTCTGTTGAGACATTCACACTACAGCTCTTCTAATGAAATGTCACATTTTATGACTGGATTCAGATATTTAGATCTCACAGATTTCTGTAGTCACAGATTGTGGTGATGACAAATGTTGTTCTGGTCGATTTAAAAAGACAGCAGCACATCTGTGCTTCATGTTTGAGCCTGTGAGTGAGTGTTGTTGCTCGTGGTTTTGTAGGATGGGGGTGAAGTGGCAGCGGATCCGCAGCATCCTCAATCCTCGGATGTTGAAGCCCAAACACGTGTCGTCGTACACCAACACGGTCAACGAGGTGGTGAGCGACTTCGTCCTCCGAGTGAGCCGGCTGAGGGAGACCAGCGGCGGCGTGATGGTCAACGACCTCACGGCAGAGCTCTACAAGTTCGCTTTCGAAGGTCAGCCGAGAACAAACAAACCAAATGGTCCTGATTAGAACGAGTAGAAGAAGAATGTCCTGATTAGAACGAGTAGAAGAAGAATGTCTTTTGAATGTTTAGTTCAAAATGTGTTTTTATTTCTGGTAATCTTCACAAAAGAGGTTTATCTATATTTAATAAAGTAAAATGACATGAAAGAATAATTATTAGCATTGTCATTTTAAAAAAATATATGTTTATAGATATATATATATATGAATAATATAAAAATTAAAATAAATTAATAAAAACAATTTACTGACCAAAATTAGTATCTGAATAAATAAATATATATTTAAATAGTTAAAACTCCTATTTTCAGAAATGCTACTTGAGCAACAAGCAGTGAAGTTTCATCAGAAAAATGCACTTAAAGTATCAAAAGTAAAAGGACTGATTATGCAGAAAGTCCCATTTCTCCGTTATATTACGATAGAATATGAATTCTATGTTGATGTTTAGTGTAAACGTGGAGCCGGTTCTCAGCGGCACGTTGATCTCTGGTGCAGCAGAGGATCCTTCATGTTTGTGGATCACAGCCAGAGTCAGCTGATTAGATATCGACCAGACGATCCTGAAGCTTTACGACATGAACTCTGATCCTTTACACGTCACGCTGTGTTATCATTTCATTCACAATCATTTAGTAATCGCTGGAGAGAAGGTTGTTCATTACAGTTTGTCTTATATATATATATATATATATATATATATATATATATATATATA